TGCTATTAACGCGTAGGGGAATAGTACCAGTTTATTTTTTTGACATAAGTTATCATTTTTTTAGAGCAAACACTTCTTCAAGATATGTTTTACAAAGCCATCGACATTCAAGGTCTTGCATTGGTGCGAACTGTTTTGTTCTATTTAATGTGAAGGATATTATAGAATTGAAAACACAGTCGTAAATACCCATGAAGTTTATAAAAGTGATTAAGGCCACTAGAAATCAAAGGAAAAGTGTTTTTCCATTCCGTTGATTGAACCAATTAACGGTTGTTTTTCGTTAACTGCTCATCGCTTTTAAACAACCAACTTTCTTACGCTTTAGTATAAAAGAAGTACTTTTATATGCGTCAGTTGATAACTTTCTTTTCACAGATCTCTAAAAAGAAACAAACCACCTTTTGCAAAATTTTTAATAACAGGTCTGATAGCGTTTACAAATGTTCAATCGTAATCATCTAAAAAAAAAAAGAATTAAAAAGCAAAAAAAGAGAAGAAAGAAAAAACATTTTTGGAATATTCAAAAGCCGGAGCTAGCAATAGTTTCAAAATTAAATTGATTATTTTTATTTACTGTGGCCTCTCAATGGTTCAAGTAGAAAGCCATTTTCAAAATTTAGCTACACTTTTTTAATCAGCTTTTGAAGAAATTGACGGATCATTTATGCTCGGTATGTTTAAATCTCTAGACAAGTTTCGACTCTATAATTAAACTTTTTAGCGGACTACTTATAACTATCTACAAACTTCTGATGCCGCACAGTTTATATGATACAAAATAATTGAAAATGTAATAAGGAAGAACCCAATTAGTTTTCAGAGAGATGTTTTCAGACAAGAGTACCCTGCAAAAAATCCAGATGCATCCAGATCCAGATATATGAAAAAACTGAACCATCATTTTATTTATTGAAAAAGCAACTTTTTATAAGCTACGTAAAAATTATATTATACATAAATACCCAGAGTATTTGAAACTTTTTGATATGAGAGAACATGATATAAATTCTAAATGTAACCAACAGGCAGTTGGAAAAGGTCAAGGAACGCAAGATCACAAAAAAGCAAACTGACTTGTTTTTCAAAAAACTTCAACTTTCAAATTTCAGAAAACATCAATGACCATAAGATTTTTTAAATTCTAAGAACAATTTATAATTGACACTCTTTCATAAAATTAACTCAAATTGAGAAAACGGTAATAGTAAGTAAAAATTCTGTTACGCTGGGAAATTGTAAAATTATATTCCGTTTTCGAAATTAAATTTCAATGACATTTGTCATGACTATTAAATTTTTGCTTTTCAACAATGGAGTTTAACTTCCTTTTAATAAAAGAAATGAACTTTAATAGAAAGAAACCAAAAGCCAAATGGCGGAAAACCAAATTTGAGCGTGAATAACTTTGAAGACTTATTGAAAAAAATTATTACGACAATATAAAAGTCTGAACTACATCATTCGACTCTCAATTATTCACAATCTAAGTTACTCAGTACGTTGCTGTAGGAGATATTGCAGACAAGAAGTTATGGCAGAAAACACCGAAGCAGTTTAGAAGAGAAAAACTAATTAAAATTGGACCTTATTTTAGTAGCGTGGATTAATCTTTTCGCTTAAAGTACTTTTTAGTTTTAAATTTTGTTTCAAAGGGAAGCGTTATATCATATTGAAACCAGTGCAATCGGGATATAAATTGCTAAGAATCGAGTCTCAAGAGTAAAAAAGATTTTCTCTTAAGCTAAAATCTCAGATGATATTTGATGGATCGTCTAGCAGCTATCACATAGTAAGCTTTTATTTGGAAATTTTAAAAAGATGAGAACTTGTTTTTTGACTTTTGAAAAAAGTTGCGAAAGATTTTTGCTCGAGGTTGCTTTTGTTTTTCTGCACAAGTTTTGGTTTTTTCAGTCGGTTTTGATGGGAAATAAAAGTTATCAATGCCTTGGGTTCGAATAAAAAAAACAATTTACCGGCGATTGTTTTTTTTAAGTTATGAGTTTGAAATTTTTCAATTTGGCGAAACTATGAACTATCTTTTGTTTTTTTTCTGAAGATCAATTGAAATTTTTTTTTTCAAAATTACTTTTCATATTATAAATAGATCAAAACGTGTCAGCGTAAACAGATGAACAATTTCTTGCAACATTTCTTGAAACATTTTAAACGCCATGTCAACATTTTTTGAACAGCTTTGCTTTATAGTTTTACGAGGGGGTTGGGAAACTGGTAAAGAGTCATATTGGGATACTCAGAACTTTAACAGTTTGTCTTTTTTCTTGACGCGTAAAAAGCAATTCAAACTGGTTAAGAAATCGTTATAGATTAAATTGAATTCAAAAAACTTTCATAATGCAATTTGCATGGAAGTTTTGTAGAAATCTATTCGTTTATTCACGCTTACATGTTGTACTGCTGTTTAGATGAACAAAATATTTTCAATTAGACTTTCTCAAACTGCATTTCATGAAAAAAATCAAAGGGGGGGGGGGGGGTAGTGGAAATTAGACGCTATCAGAGTTAAATAATAAGTTAGTAGACGTTGAATACTTCACTTTGCATTTTGCATAATGCGTGGTAGTGACGCAAAAGCGTTGTAGGAAAAACTCTCTATGAAAATGAGCAGACAGGGGCAATAGTGGCCTGATTTTGACCATGAAAGTTTTCTTGAAAATGAGTGTCTGAATAAATCGTTTCAATTGAAAATTGATTGACAAGTTTTCAATTGTTTACCATATTCAAAAATTTCAAAACTTCAGTTTCTTGTTTTGATGTTTTATCAATTTCTAAGGAGGAAATTTTTTTTCGTAGACTAATTTTCATAGAGAGTTATTTATACATTATGCCACTATTTTTCTACTCTTTCGTTTTTTTTTCAAACTTAGAAGTGTTTTCACCTGTGAATGATTTTGTTCGAATTAGGAGTTTGAAGATTGCCAATTTGGCCAGTGTGGGATAAATAACGCGCGATATATTTCGACCTATTAACGATCAAGCGGCAATTTAAAACGGACAAATTGAGAAGTTGTTGCAATTCAAAATTGAGAAAATTGTTGCAATTTTAATTTGAGACATCTTAGTTCACCTAACTGATACATTACTAGATGCTAAATATCAGAATTTGTAATATACGCAGCGCGTACCAAGTTTTTTAAAAAGTCATAAGTTTCAAAAAAGATCATATTTGTGAATCTAACTCTCTATCATAGTCAATAAAAGGCAATCGGAACATTCGAAAAGGTCACCCTGATATAAGCCCCGTGAACTTAATCAGCTATAACAACCTTGTTTTTTTTGTTCCGACTTTCGTAACGAAAGAAACGGAATATTTGTGTTCGGGTGGCTTTTTTTCTTCAGACAATCTTTGACTTTTTAACTTGCCATTTTGGATAAAAATTGAAACTTATTGTTGTCCTAAGGTTAATTTTGAAAAAAATATTTTATCTGTGATCATTTCTAATAAAGTTATGGGGGTTTAAAGATTGCCATTTTGGCCATTTTGGCCAATTTGGGACAATTAACGCGCTAGATGTTTCGCGCTATTAACGCGTAAGCGAGATTTAATCCGTCTTAGAAATCGTTCCAATTTGGTTCAAGGAAGATTGTATGTCATAATTGATTTGTTAATAGGAGCAAAATCTATCACTTTCTACTTAATATTGGAGTGTGGGGGGATGTTTTCACAAAAAATCTCATTTTTTTTTCAAAAAAAAATTTAAATTCTATTTTTTTACCTTTAAATTTACTATGTTATTACAGCTCCATTGAGCTTTAAAGCAGTCGGAACATTCAGGGCTTCTCCCTGATACGAGCAGTCTTGTTTTTGTATATTACCATTTGACGCTCCTAATGCGACTTAGTCGACCAACCTTTTTTAGACTGTTTTTTTTTAGTATAAAAAATGAAGTTGAGGTCTTTCAGCAGATTTTGATTGTTAACTCATATAAGATATTTAAAAAACGCATAAAAGTTTATTTTATATAAAAAAAAGAGCTCGGTATGGGGATGAATTTCTCTAACCAAGTGTTTTATCTCACGCTTTGTCTATAAAATTCTAAGCAAAGCAAACTAGTTTAGCGGCAATAACTGTTTTACGCGCACACTTTTTTTTTGCGCCGAATATATTCGCGGCGTGGCGGAGCAAAAAAGCGAAAGTTTGCGTTCTTCTGAATTGATGATTGTTTTAAATTATAACTAAAACCTGGCCCGCTAGGGAAATCTGCCCCTGGGAGGAAATGTCTCGCTGGTCTCTCTGGTTTCCATTATATAAAAGTCTAATAACTTTCAATTTTGCAACTGTACCATCACGTGTTACTTTTGTATTTTTTGATTTTTTGCACAGCAATCAGTATTTGGTACAAGACATTACAGGTTGGGGTGTCACTGATAACTGCTCAATGGTTAAGGAACTACAAACTTTGGTTCTTAGATGTTTTAAAGAATTGTGCCATTACGTTAAATTAACAAAAATTATACGTAATGGGATAATACTGAAAGAGATATATACTAAATGAGATGTCACCGAATTTCATTTCAAAAAGTCTGTGGTTCGAGGCCTTATGTAATGAAACAATTATCAGCCCAGAAAAAAACGCATGGTCAATACAAAGGGACAGAAGGGGGTTTGTCATAATAAGCAGATGAAGTCTTAGATTGGTGTTTTTCTGCGAGGAGAAACAATTTTTAAGCTGAAAAAAAGTTTCAATCAAGTAATGATGGTCGAAACATTATGTTAAGATTCTAAAATTAAATTGTTTTGTTTCTGGCAACAATGGTTAAGCTCTTTTCGGGTCATTTGTCCGATAGCTCTTAATCTTAATTTTTCAACTGTCTGAATACGATGTAAATTTATCTTTATAGTGTTATTATGATATATTTTGCTTCTAACATGAAACATGAAAAGCTGGTTTGAACTAAAAAAGCCTTGATGCAACCTAGGGCAACATGCCTATCAAATATTTATCTAACTAATATTTATTCGAAAAGAGCAAGAACATATTAGTAGTTAGGATGATGAACTTCCAAGGTATTGCTATACTCACAGCAGGTTAGTGGTAAATAAAACTTTTATTTGATTACCGCTGTAATTGAATACATACTTTTTTCTAGAAACTTTTTAATATGGTCTTTGAATTTCAGGTCAATTAAAAAAACTTCCTTGAATAGAATAAGAAAATAATTGTCCCACGAAGAAACTTTGGTGTTTATTTGGGAGTTGGTGTTATATTTTGAAGAAGAAATTAGTACGGAACAAGACAAGGGCGGATTTAGGATCGAGGGGGTGAAGCTTTCAAAAAAAATTGCAAATTTTGTCGACCTTTTTTAGGTTTCATTTTCCGAGCGCAGTTAATTTTTTGAAAAAAAAAAACGGGTCAAAAATGCCGTTTTAGGAACTTTTAGAAAAATATTGACCAATAAATTGCGTTTTTTTTGGCCCGCGCTTCCTTTCAAATTTGTTTTTATTGGCACCAAAGGCCCCCTTGGAAAAATTTTAGGGCTGGTCGGCTGAAAAATGAATGATATAAAATAAGAAAAAAGGTTGGATCATTTGGTTTGTGAGGGGTTCAATTTCCTGGGGAGAGGGCGTGTCCGCCCTCCCCATGCCCCCCCTAAATCCGCCACTGCAACAAGATACTTCTAATAGAGAGAGGAAATTATATACCTTCTTCGTACACAGTAATCAGGTCTAAAATAGAGATTAAGTGACAAAATACGACAAAGGCAGTGATTCTGATCAAATAACCGAACTTAACTAATTGTGACATTAGATAGTGATACAAGATAGCACGCAACTCATTAAAAAAAAGGAACTGCTTGATTTCAATATGACGTCTGGACACAGTGATAGCACGCGTGTTACAAAGAACTCTCGGACAACCATATATTCGGCACCACAAAAGTTATCTGAACATGCAACCACTGATCATTATTGTGTTGAAATTGATTTACACATTGATCTCATAAAGAATGTTAAGGCGAATATTCTTTATGTAGAAAAAAGAAAAAAACTGCAAAAACAGGAGCTCAAAGTTGAATTCAACTAGCTTTTACATAAAAAACTAATGCAAACTGACTTTGATGATAGTGTAGTTGGTACTGATGAAAAAATTGAGTTCCTGCACTCTGGATGCAATGTTACCGCTGTCAAAAGGAAAGACAAAATCAAAAAAGCTGGATATTGAATGATATCGAGAGCTTAGAAACACAAATTATTAAAAGTATATCAAACTCAGTGTACTTTAGAGGCGAAGCAAAAACCTAGACAGCAAACTGTCAAAGCCAAAAACATGGTATTGGAAAATAAAAAAGATTTTTACAAAGGCATATTCTTTAAAAACACTGGAGAACCCAATAGAAATTTTTTAAAATCATGTGAGCGAAATTAAGGGCGATAATAAAAAAAATCAAAAATCGAAGAAAATCCTATTACTGCACAAAAGCTGAAAGACTATTTTGTCGCAATGGGTCCAGAATTGTTATCTGGATTTCTAAACAGTGAAATTTCCAAAATTATTTGCAAATACAGACAAATAAGACACAAAAAAGCATGGCCCAAGAAAAAACCTGAAGATGAATCTTTGTGGAAGCGTCATTGTGGGGCACCTCAAGGTTCTGTTTAGGGTCCTCTGCTTTTTTATTTACTTCAATTATCTTGCCAACATACCACAGCACAACGAATGTATTGTTTATGCGGATTCTATTGTTTTTGGAACACTCAACGAAACTAAAGAACTTAAATCGAATTTGAAATTAAAATCAGAAGTTATGGAAAAAAAAAACTTGCAACATACAAAGGAAAAACTCAAATGATGACTATTAATGGAATAAAAAAAATTGAACGTTTTATCTGAAATCAAAACACGAGAGAACTAAGAAGTGTAGTTAAGTAATTGGAATTCATTTTGCATCAAAATATTAACTTCAATCAAAATCTTGAATAAGTAAGAAAAAAAAGCTGTCGATTCAGTTCCATTTTTATAAATCAAGAAAATTTCTCAGCTCATCTGCTCTCATTAGAGTTTACAAACAGTTCTTACAGCCAATATATCAATATGGAAAATTAGTATATGAAATTGCCAATAAAAAGGCTTTAAAAAGTTTGCAAGTACAACAAATTTTTCAAATTCGAATTGCGTTTTGCCTCCAAAAAAAACACAAGAAGTAAGGAAAATTAAAAAAAAAACGAAGGGAATTTTCTCAATCAATGAACTACATGTAAGCGAACTGCTGAAAATACTCTCTTAACTAATAAGACGAGAGCATGCAAGTGAGAAAAAGAACAATTTTTTTTTAAAACAAGATTTAAACAAATCACTCGATACCACTAGAAGAATAAAAAAACCAACAAAAAAAAATTAACACAAAGTTACAAAAAAGCATTTTCTGTCCAAATACGGACACTACTGAATTCTCTAAATAATTTCAGTATGTATATCGTTAAAGAAATTTTAATTGAACATAAACGTCAGACAACCGCCTGCATGAAATCAGAGATACTCAATAATTGATGGCAACTACTTCATCAAATTATTTTGTTGAAAAAGTATTGAAATAGTTTTTTAATATCAATGAACCATAAAAAACACACAAAAAACATCACAATAATTGAAATAAGGCAAATCATACAAAATATTTTTGTCTTGTCGGAAAAATGTTTTTTGGTCTTTTTTTTGCTGGTATGTATTTCTGAATAATCATATTAATAAGATGCAAGATAAGTGAACTGTAAGATTTCGAAATTTCAGTTTTTTTTTCTTTTAATTTAATTTTTTTGTGGATAAAGGTTTTTTATATTAAACAATCAGATCCATATAAAATAGTAATTAATAGAAAGTTCTCAACCGCGCTTCAACAGGTTGAATTACCTCCTCCACCTGCTCAAGATGGTGCTATTTTAATGATACCTTTTTTATATTGTTCGATTATTGCATTACTTGACTTTTTTTTATATATATATAATACACGACGTTCATATTGGGGCGGAGTTTGATTGTTCCGACTGCCTTTTAAGGTATCTGAAGTAGTTATTAATTAAAGTTGGTAAAGATGTAAAACTTGCCAATTTTCTCCCCTCACGCAATGTCACTTAAATGGTGATATATTTTTCATCGAATAATGCACTTTTTGGGAGAGGTAGATTGCCTCAGCTCATTTTGAAAGTCAAAGCAAGACTCCTTGTGTCAGGGTGAGCCCATGTTTCAAATGTCTTTAGGGATTTTTAAAGAATATTTATAATAACAAATGATGTTAAAAATTTATTTTGTTTCTTCTATAGATCTTCCCGCTCATGCAATGTAAAGTTCAAATGATTTCTGAACTGGAGTTATTTCCTATCCTCTATTCTCCAACAAAAATTGGAATTCTTGTGAGCTTTGATTATCCCAAATTGATGAGTTTAGTCCCAAGGTCAAACCCCCATTATTATTAAAAAATAATTGGGGTGAAATTTTTCTACTGCTGAGCTCAGGGCTTCGATTAAAAGTCCGAACTTGGTCTTCATAAGAAAAGCATTGCTCGTATAGTTTTTGCGTCAGCTTAGTTAGTCTCTGAAATTTGGGGCAAGAAAAACTCAAGGTTTTTGTTCACAGAAGTATCTCTGTGAACTTTGTTCACAAGATCAGTTGAGCTGAGACATGACTACTTTGTCCTAGTTTTTCCGCATGTCCCTAAAACGTAACAAAACCTGTAAAAATTTCAGCTTTTTTGTCCGCGGAGGTATATTGCTCTTTGTACACGCCCCGAGGGTACTCAACAACTGATGCCACTGAAGGTTGGGAGTCGCTGGTGTTCTGGATTACGAACTCAATCAGCAAACGCGGAATAGCATGTTCAACACACAGGTGAGGCTTAGCCATATCATCAAACCCGATCCAATAAAAACCACCCAAAATTGTATGATCACACAGAAATGTCTTCAAACCTTAGTAGCATCCCAATGTAGGTCCCAATCTGGAAAATCAATATTGAAAATAAAGTTAGAAATAAAGCTTAACAATAAAACTATTTTAAAAAGCTTCAAAAGTAATTATTACCTTTATTTGATTATTTAAGTGGGCAAATTTCACCACTGATCAACATTTAGCGTATAGCTAAAAGAAGCAAGCGTAGACTTTCTGCATCTGTGACATTGACATGAAGTTTTGAAGGGAGGTTAATGGCTCTACGTTTTCGGATCTATAGGTTATCTGCCTTTTAGTCAATGGTACTGCCTGGACGCATATCATACTCCGGACCCACAGGCTTCTGGACGCGCGATGATGCCAGACTTATCTGGGCGATCTACTTTTCTGCAACCGTTCGCAGCCAAGGCCTGGTTCGATCTGCTGATAAAAGAAAAATGGGAGGACATAAACATGATCAATTTTCTCAATCCACGTAATTGTTTAACGGTTTTCGCCTGAGGGAAAAATCTTGATTAATTGTTCTAAGTTTGGCACCCAAGGTTTAACATAAAAAAGGAAGAAATGCTACATACGTTTACTTTCGTTTGAATCCGTAACCAAAATTTACCAAATCCAAACCTAGCTGCTCCACGGAAGTAACATCAGTTCCATTTGATTTACAGTTCGTTTGGAGCATGTTTATATTTACGTTGATATCAATTTGCCGGATGAGGAGCTAAATTTCCCGCAGTGATAAAATAGATAAAAGTTGATTATCTACACAAAAACCTATATATTAACGTAGCTATAAAATCGATTTATCTACAATCATTTTGCGAACGATAATAGATTCTATACAGATAATTTGGTGCTAGGGATTTTAGCAGACAGGTTTTTTAGCAGACACAAAACAATTATAAAGTGTGATAGCTAACTTCAAACGCGGCTTTGGCGATTAGCGATTGCTTCCTCCGCTGCGCTTCAATTCAGCACCGTTGTTATTGTGCGCATAAATCTTTGTTTTACCGCTAATTTAGGCAGTTAGTTTTTGAAGTTGATAGTTTTGTTGACAAATCGTGAGAAAATCGTCTTTTTTCACTTTTTTGCTAAAAGATTTGTCTGCTAAGCAATCGATCCGAGATAATCTGCATAAAATCTGCATATTCAGTATATAACCTTCCCGGGATGACCGAAACTTCTTATCATACAATTCCCATATATGAGAAACTTCTTGTCATACAATTCCATACAATGCCATACGTACAAAACATTGTATGAAATCTCTATGATAAACATTTTTCCATAAATGAAAATTGTATGATAGATGTTTTTCCATAAAGCAAAAAGTTTGATTTTTTATTTCTAAATTTATTTCTGAAAAATTTTTGGTTGTGTTTGCAGCCGAACACAAGTGACAAAGACCTTGGTTACTCAAAGCACCAAAGGTTGGACGGTCTTTGCATTTATAATGCATAGAAAACGACCTGAGATCGGCTGTCTTTCACAATTGATATAACAAAAGCAACAAACTTTTAGTTTTTGGCAAAATTTTTTAATGGTGATTATTTTAAATTTTTGAGCTTTCAAATTATCAGACATTGATCACGCAATAAATTAACACACCATACAAAAGAAATAGCAATTTTCAGCGTTTTTGAAAAAAAATTTGAGTGAAAAGAAAAGAAAAGCCAATTTTATCGTATCCAGGACTACGTTATGCACACAAAATATTAAATTTTGCATGCAAAAATTTTTTTTCGAAAAATGTTTGTTTGCGTACGAAATTCGATTTGCGGTTGAAAAAAAACAAAAATTTTTTTGGGCCAAATTTTCAAAATTACTTGTCACCATCAAAAAAAATGCCAGTCATACAATTTCCATATATGGGAATTGTATGATAAGCATTTTTTTCAAAAAACGAAAACCTCAGTTTTTTTATCACCAGACTGTTTTATTAGAATCAAACAGCCACAGAAATAAGTTTATACCAGTTTTCAACCATTTTTAGAAATTGTATGAAAATTGTATGACAAGCATTTTCCCACACACTTGATGTATGGAATTGTATGATAAGCATTTTTGGTGTATGGAGGTCAACCCGGGTTTATGCATTGAAACATGCAGATATTCTGTAGTCCGTACATATTTAGCAGACATTTTGTATGTAATCTGTATACAATTTGAACAAAATTGATTAAATATACCGATTTTATACAGATTTGTAGCCTAAACACTGTGTGCGTCGCAACAATTTCAGTTTTGACCGTTCATTTTTTTACTTAAAGAATTTTTACACAACTTTAATAAAAACTTTTCTCAGTGTTATAGTGAGCGGACCTCACTTGAGGAAAATTGTTCACCGCAAACTACAAAGCTTAAAAGATCCTTAAAAAATTTTGCAATCTAAATGTTCCCGCGGTAAAAAAAGTTATGCGATTTTAAATATCTTCTCAGCGCAATTTTAAAAAAAATCATCAAAAAAAATTTAGAAAATTTAACATAGAGCAAATAGTTTTTGCAGCAACTTTTCCCACAAAAAACAATTTACTCATATCATCTGATTGGCGATAATTTGAAGAAAATCAGTATATAATTTGTATATAGTCTGAATAAAATTTGTATACAAAATGTAGATAATCTGTACACAGCCTGTCTTTAATCTGTATAAAATCGGTATATAATTTGTAGAGAATTTGTAGATAATTTGTAGATAACCTGTATAAATCTGCATAAAATCTGTATGTAGTATGCAGGAATTTTGATGCAGAAAAAAAACAGAATTGGATTGTTTTGGCAATGATTGCAAAATGAATGGACACAGTATGAAAATTTTTGCAAATAAAATTGCATTATTAAAACTACATAATCAAAGTTATACTATATAAAAATACAACAGATACGAAACCTGTACATTTTTCTGAAGATAATCGATTTTTATCCATTTTTGTCGCTGCGGGTTCAGCTAAACTATTAATTACGATTTTTCCTTTTTGGGGATTACTTTTAAGGTCTTATACGAAGTATGTACTCATCATTTACACATTACTCATTCAATAAACACAAAATATATTACCTGGTATCTTTGTAATGCAAATCTTGCAAAACTTAGCAAAAAATCTTTCGCAGGAACACATAAGCTTTTTCTTTGCGAAGTTTTGGATCAGTTGTTTTCTTGCAAGCTTCGCGTACGATTTTCAAAAAATTTGCAGTTTTTGAATAATTATTTATTTTTTTTATATTCCCTTAAATTTGGTGTATTTCATAGTTTCTGTTACTTTGAAGCATGTATTTACACACATAGGAAATTGACAGAATACTGTTTGCCCCAAAGTGTGGGATACTTAGAGAAAATGCACATAACAACTTTGGTTAATAAAGTTATATTGATGATTTTTCAATAATTTTCAAAAGGGTGAATAAGTGATAAAATGAAGTAAAATATTTGCAAGCGAATAGAACATTTTCAGTTTTTGCAGGTAAACATTTCATGTTAATAATAATATTGGGGAAATTACTTACTTCATGATTCATAGACTTTTGTCATAAATTGTTACTGCATGGTTAAGCGTAAGCAACGTATTAAAGAACTATTGCGATAACCTTGGAAGATTATTGTTCCGACTTTCGATACGAAAGTAACGGAATATTTGTGCTCGGGGTGGGTTTTTTTTTCTTCAGACAAATTTCGACTTCTTAACTAGCCATTTTTGACGGAATTTTTTTTATATCATTCGAAAACTATTGTTGTCCTGAGCTTAAGTTTGAAAAGATATTTCACCTGTGACCATTTTCGTAAAGTTATGAGGGTTTAAAGATTGCCATTTTGACCAATTTGGGACAATTAACACGCGATATAATTCGCGCTATTAAGGCGTAAGCGGAGATTTAATCCTTCTCAGAAATCGTTCCAAATTGGTCAAAAGAAGCTTATTCGCCATAATTGGTTTGTTACAAGGAGCAAAATTTATCTTTTTGTACTTTGTATGGCGTGTGGGGGGATGATTTTCATAAAAAATGTCAAATTTTAGAAAAAAAAATTTTTCATTTCATTTTTTCATACATTTAATTTTTAAATGTTATTACTGCTCCATAAACCTTAAAAGGCAGTCGGAACATTCAGGGCTTCACCCTGATACGAGCAGTCTTGTTGTTTTTGTAAAGTTTGCATTTTTACTTGACAATCAGAATAAAGCAAAATTTTCCGGAAGTTTGGAAGTTCTGTAAAGTTTGAACTTCGAAAGTTCGAAAGACTTGCAAGTTTTTCCATCCACGTACACAAGGTTGCACATTATATATACACTGATCGGTGACTCAATTTCAAATAACCGAGGTGGAAAAACCATGAAAGTCAATTATAAAACTTTTTTCTTTTATTTTTTTATGCAGTCAGGGTATTCAAGTTAAGCTTCGCTGAAATATCAATTTGAAAAATTAAAAGTTTGAAATTATATTTTAAAGTACTGGAATTTTAAAAATTATTAGAAAAAATTGATTTGTTATACTAAAAAGCACAAGTACGACCAATTTAGTTGACCAGTTTGGTACAGATTTTTAAAACGTTACTTTTTTAGCAACTTAGTTAAAATTTGTTTTTTTTTCTAAACATTATAAATAGTTAAAGCTTTTTTTGTATCAAAATTTATCTTATGAGCAATAATATACATATTTTTCACCTAAACAAATAAAAACTTTCTTAAATGTGTTTTTTCTTCGTCATGGCATTTAAAAATGCAAAGCTGCCCAACAACTCGTCCATTTAATAGACGACGCGACGCATCAATGACAAAAATTTGAGCGTTGATCAGTTTTTGGGTTTTCTGAATGACCATATGGAGTCAAGAATTGTAGAAAAGCTTCGAATCCTCCTCAATATTATCTCACCAATATTTCATCGATGTTATTTGCAGCGTTAGAAGAATTTTTTTTCTAGGTGACTGCTGCACAAACCAGGTGGACAAGTACATGGTATTCGGACTTTTACATAAAATGATGAATCCTGACCTGTACATGGCCAAACTTACAGACTACAAAAATGAAAGCAAGCCACTCAATTTTATAATGGTAAGATCTGCTTCAATCGAAAAATTTATCATAATAGGTGGTAGTTATGTTTAAAAAGAGCTGAGGTAAATTGCAATACACTCCAATCTTGTCAAGACTAGCGCGAGGTGAAGCTGAGACCTGTCGAACCATGATAACACTGCAAAATTATCGAGAGTTGTAATTCTTGTAGAGATCTCGTAAGAGAACGTAACATCACTCTGAGACAGAACTGCATCTTTATAAGACGCGCTGTTTGACTGTGGATTATTACAGAGACAAATATCGTCAGATATCAACCACCAAATCCCTCAACGAGTTGTTTTGAAATCCACAACGAGATACCGTATATTTTGTCGGCATATGAAATGTGTTGCAAATCCGCAACGATAGAAAAAATCAAAATTAGGTAAGAATTTTGAAGGAAAGAGCTTAGCGTTTGGAGCTGCTCTGCGTTTTAAACATTAATTTCTGGATTCCACAACAACAAAAACATAAAAAATGGCATTGTTGCGGATTCTGCAATACTTATTTTTGAGGTTGTGGAACCCTCATAAAAGACAAAAAGTTACAGTTTGGCCTCATGAGAATTGCATAATGTAGAGGACTATCGGTTCTTTCTCATTATAGCCCCCAGTCTTGAAAGCCCCAAACTATAATAGGAATTACTCGGTTTGTCAACCACCCTATACACAAAATACTGAAGCTCCAAACTCTCTGAGAACCTTTTTACTTGCTCAGCATCAAAACTTGGGAAAAAATCAATGACAAGAGTTTTTTTAAGCGTTTTATGGGAGCCTGATTGTTAATGGTAATGTTTTTGTCTATCTGATTGAGATCTTTGGCAGATTTTAATCACAAATTCATGGAAATTTTGAAAACTCAATGCGCTTCAAACCACTTGCCAAGTTCTCACAAAAATATTTTTCTAACAGAAAAGTATGCACTTATTGTCAGAATGTTTGTGCTCGGGGTAGTAGATGTTGGAGGTGATCAGGGGGGGGGGGGGGGGGGGGGATGCATGGAAGACCCAATGTATTAAGATAGGTTATAGATTTCCGGTCTTCCATATTATGTATTAAGATTGGGTATAGAGTCTACAATGTATTAAGATAGGGAATACCAATGGTAGGTTTCAGTGTGATGGTAAGATAATGGTAAGAAAAAGGTTTTTTTTTTTGGTTTTTGTGTGGCAATCTCGGCGCGCGTATCTAATTGGGAATAATTAATTGTTAATTACTTGAAGATTGTAGAATTAAGGTTATATTTTTAATTTTTCATTGCATGGTAAGTCAATGGTTAGAGTTCTTGTGCAAAAAAATGGAACTTTTATGAAAAATTTTTAAAAAAACTTCAAAAACACGATAAGATTAGCTATTATTTGACCTAATTTATTAGATAATCTTGCTTTCTATCTAATTGAAACAATAATTTTAATTTCTATCTAATTGAAACAATGCTGTAATCTACTGAAACTTTGAAAAAAGTCAAAGTTTTTGGAAAAAAAATTGCAAAAGTTTTTAGTTTTTGGAAAAAGTTGCAAAAATTTCAAGTTTTTGGAAAAAATTTGCAAAATCTTATAGATTTGGTTAATTTTTTTCGTTGTTTCTGATATAGTTGAAACATTATACGTACGTACAGAGTTTGAAATTGAGTTCAAATTTTATTTTAACTGGAATCATATTGAGACAATGATACAAAAACTTGAATAAAGTTTTCGATTTTCCCAAAAATTTTAAACAAAATATTGAAATACGATAAGTTTTAGCATTATTTGAGCCTGAAAGTGGGTTATATAATGCTCTCAATATTAACAAGAAAGCTCATAACTGCTGAAATAATATTAAAGTTTCTCGTATTTCAAGAATAATTTTGGGAAAATAGTGAAATTAATCGTAATTTTCGAGAAAGTATAGTTAAAAATTAATGGAATCTGTCCAAAATTTTCCATTTCAACCTTTTTTTTGGTGGTTAATTGGTTTTTTATCCAATTCAGGGTGAATTGAAATAGGATTCTCAAATTCAAATGAACATTAAGAGCAACATTCTACGAAATTTCTAGATCAAACTCCATGATTAAACTCCTCCTCAGTTTTTATTCTCAATGATTAACCAAATTTTGTGTAAAAATTACAACTTCTGAGAATTTTTTCATTTTAATAATAATGAATTTCAGATCAGTGATGGAAAATGTACAGTTAATTGCTAAAATTGACTAAAAATGGGATAAAGTTTTTCTTAAAAGTTTCGTCGATATTGGTTCAAATTCAAAAAAAATGTCTTCAAAACTGATGATTATCTCTCTGTTGCTTCTGCAACATAATTTCCATGAATTTCCGAAGAAATGTTCTATGTTTTTTATGGCTATTCTTGTTTTCTGAGAAAATTGAGTCAGAACTAGAGAATTTAGGAGGAAAATAGTATCAATTGGACGAACAATTTGCTGGCAGAGATGAAATTAGAACTGATACAGTCTGGTTAATATGATATAAATTGTAAATGACTTCCTCAAGGTTCCCTTGTTTAGTTGCTACAGTAAACTATTTTAGCAAAAAAACAATATTTGGAATCAATAACTGTCACTTTTCTTGAAAAATAGTTATTTTTTTCATGAATTTCAGAAGAAATGTTCTATGTTTTTTATGGTTATTCTTGCTTTCTGCTCAATGCATGTTTTCGCTATTGAACACACTTTGCAAAAAAATTGAGTCAGAACTAGGGAACTTAGGAGGAATATAGTATCAATTGAACGAATAATTTGCTGGCAGAGATGAAATTAGAACTGATACCGTCTGATTATTTTTGATAAATATTGTAAATGTCTTCCTCAAGGTTCCCTTGTTCAGTTGCTACAGTAAACTTTTCAAGCAAAAATACAATTTTTGGGATTAATAACTATCACTTTTCTTGCAAAATATTTATAAACAAACGTTTTTTATTCTTAATTGATAACGGAAACTTTCTCAAAAAAACCCAAGTGAGAAAAAATCGGTGCTAGTTCATTTTTACGATTTAAGAACAAATTAGGAGCAGCTCTATTAGTAATACTCTGAACATCTCCGATAATACGCAAGGTAACCTAGTTCCCAACACCTAAAATATAAAAATTTCCAAAAGAGCGCGTCTCAAAAAATTGTTTTAGCAAAGCAAATTATAAGGGATTAAATGTTTTCGGATCGAGTTCCATGGAAAATTTCTTGACAATTTGAACTAATTTTTTGCTGTCTTTATCATCAATCAAAAGCTTTGAATAAAAAAAAACAAATGACAGTTCAGGTATTTTGATGAAAACACTGTATAATTTCTGACTAAATTTATCACAATTGTTTAACTTTCTCAGATTCAGTAAAAACTAGTGTTCATAGTAATTTCTAAGTTTTTAATAAAATATATTAATTTTACCTTCTCTTGAAGTGTGTTTGGAGACTACTGAGTACATAATTTAACATTATGACGACAATGCTTCTTCTTGAAACGATTAGTGAGTTCCTCGCTGCTATAAGTATAAAAGTTACCGTTAGAACACTTCAAAACAACACAGGTTCTACGATGTCTTGATGCGTGTAAGCGAGTGTATTCTCTGCCACTATCAACACAAGCAACTCTTTCGTTTTTTATTCAGTGACGGCATCTCAATAAAAAGAAAACGATTGAATGGGAGATTTAAAATGTATCAAATTTTTAGATAAAAAGAGTTGAATAGCCTCAAAAAAAGAATAAAAGTGGAAAAAAAAACAGCAAACTTTTTAACCAATTGTTTTTAACGTGAACTGAAATCAGAATGGATATGCTATTTAGCCTAGCTGAAATAAAAATCATCAAATCTAACCAGAGAGTTTTCAAAAGTATCAACCAATCAGAATCGAGCATTAATTGTAAGGAAACTTTTATCTTTTCTGATATCAACCAATCAGAATCGAGAATTGATTACAAGGAATTTTTTCTTTTCTGATATCAACCAATCAGAATCGAGCTTCAATAGTCATGGAATTTTAAACATATTTAGTGTCAAGCAATCAGAATTGAGCTTCAATAGTCATGGAAATTTCAACTAATTTATTGTCAGCCAATCCGAATTGAGCTCTACTACTCATGATTTTTTCGACACTTTTGATATCGTTTGTAGTTATTGAGGATACCTTCACAGGTAGTATTTGTGGTAATAACCAACCTGAATGAAGTATTGACAGATTTAAAAAAAAATTTTGTAGATCAGAAGCAAACTATGTTTATGAAATTTCCTAATCAATCAGTTTTATTAATTTTTCTAACATAACTAAGATATAAAATTTGATACCTTAGTGGGATAAATGAGATTTTTTGTCGAGTTTTTTTTTTGTTTTTTCGATACTCATTTCAAATTTTGAAATTTGGATAAAATTTTTTTCGATTTGTTTTATTTCTAACCAGTGAAAAAAAAAATTACCAAAATATATGTTTTTATCGTATTGTATTATAATAGACCGGAAGTCTTTTAATTTTGGATAAACGATCAAAAGATATTCTGACACATCTGGATTTTGTATTTGTATCAAATTCAAAACAGTAATCGAATTGATGTTCTCTATCTCTAATTTTTGTTTCATAGGCTCTTCCGTTGTTTTGTTTTTTACTGATTGACCACTCAATCTGAGTTACTTCTTCTAAAAAAAAACCTTGGTGATAAATCTGGCAGTACTCTTCTTTTTTTTAATCTCCTCTTCATCTTTTTAACAAAACTATTGAAATTTCTGTGTTTCTATACAAGTTAAAATTAACACAATATCCATCAACTTCATCTTGTAGTTTTTTTGTAGTAGTTCAATTTTAAAATCTGATAAATGTTTAATTCAGACATTAAAAACGATTTGGATGGAAACATTTTTCTTAGTGAAATATACGAAGAAACTTAAAAAACTCGAGTTCTTTTTATCATTTTTAGAGTACTTTGTACTAACAATCACCGTAAATATTTTTTTTCTTAATTAGAGTCAAATTAGTTTTAAGGAAAATCATGCAGCCAATCAAAACTTCCAATTAGG